TACAATGACACATCATCAATTAAATAACACAAAACATGTAACTTATACATCAACACCACTTAACTTATACAATGTATACATATTCAACAGAAATAATCAATTTTTCGAGTAATTTTGTTCATTTTCAACAAAAATTTGGCCTTAACATATCGAAATAATCAATTTCTCAACCTAAAATAGCTATTTTTAATAGAAATTTGGGTTCAATTCACCAATATAATCCATTTTCAACTGAAAATGTCCAATTTTAGTAAAAAATTGACCTAAATTGATCAAAATTATCAACTTATCACCTAAAAATGTCCATTTTAATCAAAATACAGCCTAAATTCATCAAAATGATCAATTTTTCTTCTAAAAATGACCATTTTTAACAGATGTATGGCATAAATCCATTCAAATTCTCGATTTTCCACCTAAAATGGCCATTTTTATCCAAAATTTCCCCTAAATCTGCCAAAATATTTAATTTTTCCAGGAAAAACAGCTATCTTTACTATAAATTCTGCCGAAATGTATCAAAAAAATCAGTATATATGCTTAAACTGACTATTTTTTTACAGAATTCTGGACCAAATTAATCAAAATCGTCAATTTCATAGCAAAGAATGGCTAATTTTAATAAAAATCTGGCCTAAATTAATCAAAATAGTCAATTTCATAGCTAAAAATGGCTAATTTTAATAGAATTCGGGCCTAAAATTGTCAAAATAATCAATTTTCTCCCCAAAAATGGCCATTTTTAGCAGAAATTCGTTAGAATAATAGCCAATTTCGATCAAAAAATGGCCAATTTCAATCAAATGGCCAACTTGAAATTTTAAAAATTTTCGAAAAAATTTTTTTCGAGATAACTGCATTGGAATGAAGATCTTACCTAGTACTAGTTACAGTTTAAATATGAGTGCTGGATCTCAAGCGGCTGCTTAGATATGGCCAAAAATATTTTCGAAAATTTTCAAATTTTGCACCACGTAGGGGGGGTCATGGATTTTTCGCGAACCAACTTTGACGGCAATTCCAGGTTTTAAGATAGTAGATAGTAAGAGGCGTGTCTGTTGTGCATGCATGTACAAGGACACCTCTCAATAATTAGCCGTTACCTAGTTATGAGCGTTTGAATTTTAAAAATTTTCGAAAAACTTTTTTTCGAGATAACTGCATTGGAATGAAGATTACCATTTTCAAGATCACCATTACATTACCATTTTCAAGTGGTTACCATTACCAAATCGCCTGTGATCACTATACTGATCACCAGTTGATCATTAATCAATTCCAATCGATCTAGTCATCTATCATCAAATGAAGCAAAACAAAATTCCGTCGTTGTCCACTCGTATCTCCGCAATAACTCCAGACGCCACCGTCGTCCCATCCCATTCCGAACACCATAATAGTGTTTTGATTAGTGTAAACGAATCGATAATCAATATTTTATCGATCAGTTATTAGTGAATAGAACAATGAATCATTCGCTTGTTCTCATAATCAATCACAGAGCATTTTCAATTTATATCAACCAGTGAAATTCAATTTACATATATAAATCTTCAGTGTAATACTGCATTAAAAACAGGGACACTTTTAACACATATAGCAATAATAATAATAATAATAATAATAAAATAATAATAACAATAAAATAATAATAATAATAAAATAATAATAATAATAATAATAATAGAAAATAACAATGAAAAATGATAAGTAGGCGGCAGGTAGATGAACTCAACACTTAGCTTCATAATATGATGTAAATTACACGTTTTGAAAAACTCAAAAAAGTTTAAAATATTCAAAATGAATTATATTAAAACTGAACAATGCAGTAATAGTAATAATAACAATAATAATAATAAAAATAATAACAAAAACAATAACAACACAACACAATAATCGTTACAAGCAGCAGACCGACTCAACCACTCGCAAATCAACTACAAAAAACCACAGCAAATAAGCACGACCAGTTCACAATATTCTATTACAAACTAAAATAACAAAACAAATAAACCAATTCTGAAAGCACATTTTTAGTGTACACTAAAATAACGATAATAATCTACAATCAAATAATCACAATCACAATCATATTAATTCATTTATATGAATAAAAAACATCAAAACACCCAACTCAAAACCGTGAATATTTCACCACTGCCGACGGTGACATTGCATTTACATCTAAATCATTACTCGTCTGCTTCCATTTGTCCAGTTCTTCCCTACAATCCAACTTACTATTAAATAATAACAGTAATAATAACAACAACAACAATAGTAATAGTAATAATAATAATAATAATAATAACAACAATAATAATAACAATAATAATAATAATAACAATAACAATAATAATAATGATAACGCACCTATGACTATCGGGTTTCAACTGGCTCTTAATACCTCCGAGGACGTGTCCGGTGGCTTTGCTGGCCACCACGAAGGGTCTCAAGATGGAGGGCGTTACCTGTCTCAACAAGCCTCTCAAAGGCCAATACCCTTCAGCTCGATCCTCTTGCGCTGCTAATTGCAGCACTTGCGCCGTGTCCGTTACTCCCTTCATATTATATTTTTTTATATCCATACTATACTCCTTATCATAATTTTCAATAATAATTCATAATAATAATAATAATAATAATAATAATAATAATAATAATAATAATAATACTAAAACAAAAATCACCTCTCTAACAGTCTCATAAGCCATATGAAATCCTTCTCGCAGATCATTCGGTGGTCTCCTACTGATTGCATTTGCAAAACGGCGTCTGTTTGCGTACGCCGGATAGTCTGGTGTCACTATATCAAAGGCCAATTCAGCAACACCCTATCACAATAGCACCAGTAAATAATAACAACAACAACAATAATAATAACAATAATAAAAATAACAATAACAATAAAATAACAAATAAAAAGCACCTGAACGAGCCCAACCACTTGCTGTGCGATATCCACAGCAGCTGCGGCTGTTGAAATACCAAAACTTTCAGCGCCTTTCTGCAGACCCTTCACTATGTGACCGTCGTTCTTTCGATACTCATCAACCGGCATTATGAATAGATCTCGAATCCCTT